GGCCGCTGTCGTCGCCGCCGTCGCCGTCGTCGCCGCCCTCGGCGGCCCTCGGAGGCCCTCGGAGACCCCTGGCCGCCTTCGGCGTCTCTCGTCGTCGTCGTCGTCGTCGTCGTCGTCGCTGTCGGCGGCTTACTCTTCATCATCTTCTTATTCTTCTTCTTCCCTTCGTCGTCGTCGTCGTCTTCGTCTTCGGCGTCGTCGTCGTCGGCGTCTTGTTTTTTTTCTCCTGTGAATATCAGAGCATGGTCAATGCAGATTCGGACTATACTGTTCTGCTATGGCCCAAGGCAAAACCAGGGTCGTGCAATCTTCGGTCGGATGTTGGCGGATCCTGGTTCGTTCCAGGGGCCGCTCTTAGCCAGAACGGATCGCAGATAGAGCAGCCAGCCACCATGGAGGAAGCTGTTCAGCAGATGAATGGACGATTGCAGCGACTCGAGTAGCAGCTGCTGACACAGCAGACCACGATAACCGAGCAGCCGCAGGCAACTGGAATTCAGCAGTATGCGCTTAGGCGAGCAGGTGCGCAAGTACGAGTGATGCGAGGTGATAATCAGAACCAGCAGAACCAGGGTGTAATTTTCGGACGATTGGTTGATCTACTTAAAAATCGCGCGTGTCCCAATACAGAAGGAACATTAAAGTATATATATATATATATAAAACTTGTTGTGCATTATTTCGAATATTTGTTCACTTTTTTCAAGGTCCAGAATCCGTCTTGGGGCCGTCTGGGACGTCTCGGGGTGCTCTTGGGCCGGCTTCTTTCTTCGACCGTCTTGGTGGCCTCTGCGAGGGTGTATGGCTTCAGGGGCGCGAATATTGTGTAATTTGCGAAGGATGATGGCCTCGGGGACGCGAATATAATGTATTTCTATTGTCCCGCGCCCCCGCAGGAGTTCAGGGCGCGCGATCCGGGCGTGGCCCCCCCCCCCCCCCTCGCGCGGACTTCAACAATTTATTATGGGAAGCAGAACGCAGGATTGTAACATTGGAGACTTGAAACTGCAACTGGTCCAGGGGGCAGCGCGCTTCGTCCTGCAGCCTGTTGGCCCCGCAAGTGGGCCGGCGGATGACGGGGGGCGCCCCTGGCGTGGACCGTCTGTTGGTGGTACAATTTATTTTATGGCTACGGATTGCAACGGGCACCCGCGCTGGCGGATTTCTGAGACATGACCTCCCTTGCCTCCTTCCTTTTATTTTTCTTTGCCCAATGCGCCCATTGGACGAGAGCGGCGCTTCCCGTTTTTGTCCGATCAGGTTTCCTCTGATATCGAGAGGGCCTGCCCGTCGGCGCTTTGGCGATTAATCGTGTGTCTCGGATGCCCCTTGGATTCTCGAAGGCGTGTAAAGCCCTGTGCGAGCAGACGGGTCCTCGAGCTCGAGTGCTTCGCGGCCTTCTCAATGTAGTTCCGCTTGCGGGGCCCGAGGGGGGGTGCCCGTCGAGCCCTCCTTTATTCGGCGTCTTTCATGTCGCCGCCTCCAAAGATGATCGTGGCCGCGGAAGGCGGCGCGGCCGAGTCTGCGGGGGCCGGGCCCCGTGTGCCGCGGACGTATGTGGTAGACGGGCGTCTTGGAAGAAGCGCGCGTGCCCGTTCGCAGGGCAGCGGTGAGGGGGGCTGGGCTTCCTGGCAGGGGCACTCTGCCATCGGCGATGTACAGTGCCGTTTTTAATACATGCTCCGCGTGCGGATCATGTAAAACAATGCAGGGATCTAGTATCAAAAACAACGATGAGTTCATGCATACATTTCTTCATATATTAATCATCGATTGAAGATCCTATCTTCTTAAACATCCTATGTATTAAAAACTGTCCTGTAGGGTTTGCGGGCGACGCAGCGCTGGCCGGCCCCTCAGAAGACACGCAAACCGCCGAGCCGCTCCTCGAGAAGGCGCTGGCGAACTGGGAGAAATTGGCCTGGCGAAGGACAGCCATGTGCAGTTGTGAGTGCCGCAGTTGTGAGTATCGTCGTCGGTGGAGCTCCCTGCGGGGCCGCGAAGCGTGTGGGAGATGTGCCGAAATTGGGGTTGGGCCGCGTGAGAAACCACGCCGCTTGGGCCTTCGGCTGAGCTCCTCATGGAACCGCGAAACGTGTGACGGGTGTGCCGACGTCGGGGCTGGAACCGCATGTGAACCCTGCCATTGGAGCCTTCGGTGCAGCTCCTTCTGGGACCGCGAAACGTGCGAGAGGTGTGCTGGAATGTGGGTGGAACCGCATGCGAACCCTGCCACAGTGGCCTTCGGTGGAGCTCCATATGAGGCCACGCAGCGCGTGAAGAGTGTGCCGAATTGGGGGTGGAACCGCATGCGAACCCTGTCCCTGAGGCCTTCGGTGGAGTGTTTCCCATGGGGCCACGCACCGTGTGAGGGGTGCGCCGGAAAGAGGGTGGAAACGCGTGCGAACCCTGCAGCTGGGGCCTTCGGTGGAGCTCCCTATGGGGCCGCGAACCGTGTGAGGGGTGCGCCGACATGAGGGTGCCACTGCATGCGAACCCTGTCCCTGAGGCATTCGGTGGAGCGACTCGAGGTGCGGACTTGGGCGGCTTCGACGACATCGGCGTGGCGTTTTCCCATGCGGCGATGGGCGAGACGCATTGGTGCTGGCCGCCCGAGGGGCAGAGGGATAGTGGCAGGACATGGTGATGATGTCATCGTGGAGGGCCTCGACGAGCCGCTGAAGCTCATGGGCCAGATCCTGTCCAAAAGGTGGTGGGTGCGACGAGATCCAGGCGCGCGGCGAAAGGGGCGCGCGAAGCCAAGGGTCCGATCAAGATCCCCGAGGGTTCGAAGTTCAGATCGCGTGGAGGTGCAGCTCTGTACTTGGCCTCGGGCCGCCATGACATCCAAGGCGCAGTGCAAGAACAGAGTGCGAGATGTGTGTCACTCGCGAAAACATCTCTAAGTGGGCGGTGGCGGTCGGGCTATTGCACGCATGCCAGGACGAGCTGGTCGAGGCGGTGAGGGTGCTAGTGGGCGCCGAGGAGCATCAGTGGAGGAGTATTTCACAGCTTTCAGATTTTGGGGAGTTTGTCGGTTAAACTGAGCGCGGTGGCGCGGAGCTCTGGAGAGAACGGGTTCTGCGCGATGGGGTCTTGCGCGGCGCGAGGCCTCGCGCTGCTCTGTGCGATGACTGGGATGCTGGAACAGCGAGGCGAGGGGTCCATCATGGACGTGACCATCGAGGCCGGCGCTGCAGCAGCTCGTCGCACCTGCGTCGACGTGTAGTTGGACGCGTGGGACACCTGCAGACGAGGTGGTGATGGCATTGGCCCCAGGGCCTCGTGCGAGAGAAGATAGTGAACATGGAGGAGGCTCCGAAAGATGACCAGGTGGCGGACATCGGCACCAAAGCAGCGGATAGCAGTCAACCCGCCAACCATAAGAGGACGATGGGCTTCCAGACCTGCGGGCGTTGGGCCGGAAGTGCCCGGAGGTATTTTCTCACGGCGCGCACGGCGCAGAGCCTCGCTGGGGCTGCTACAGAGGGAACTCGAGCTGGAGATGAGGTGGCTATCTTAGGGGGCCACATGCGAACCCTACCCCTACCCCCCACGATTTCTGAGGGGGAGGGTGGGGTTCACTCCGCTCGAGAGCTCCCGAACGAAGTGAACCCCACCCTCCCCCTCAGAAATCGTGGGGGGTAGGGGTAGGGTTCGCATGTGGTTCCCTATATCTACAATGACGGCGAGGACGCATCCAGGTCAGGAGGCGGGAGGGAAGGCAAGTTGCTGTGTGCCATGGTTGCGTGGGCGATCGTGGTGGTGGTGGTGGTAGCTACTGCGATGATGATCGGGGAGGGGGGGGTGCATCCAGGTCAGGAGGCGAGACCGAATGCGAGTTGCTGTGTGCCATGGTTGTGTGGACGATCGTGGCGGCGGTAGCTACGTGCAGTAGGGGGAACGCTGACGAGGGGGAGCTCAACTACGCTACGAGGCCCACATCGTTCACGCTCGACAGGATGGTCCCTGCGGTGACGACTACGACGGTCACGATGCGCAGTGTGATGATGCAAAGCCCCGTGACCTACCAGCGGCGGTGGTCCCAGCCGAGGTTCGTGTCTTTGGACGAGCACGATAGGGGTGCGTAGCAAGCGGATGTGTTCACCTACCTGGAGCAGCTCCAGGATGGGTCCGTGCGAGATTGTTTGATCAACCATGGCGACCGCACGCTGCTAACGAGATGAGATAGAGAACGTTCGATGATACTGTGATGATGCGATCGACCAAACCTGTGCTGTGTACGTAGCCACCGTGTCATGTTGACGAGCATGGTAACATCAGCCCGAGGAAGGATGTGATAATCCGACCGTGCGCAATGTAGTTTTTTGATTGTGCTGCTATGCTTTGGTTCAAGGAGGTTCTTCTGCTTCACTCCATCATCTTCGTTGTCGTCGTATTCGTCTTTGTCGTCGTCGTCGTCAGTAGAGGAGGAGGAGGAGGAGGAGGAGGAGGAGGAGGAGGAGGAGGAGGAGGAGGAGGAGGAGGAGGAGGAGGAGGAGGAGGAGGTGGAATTGGGACCGCGGATGGGGAGGGTGCTTTGGGCTTCTTGCTTTTCCTCCCTCTGTGCGCGCTTTCCCCTTCGATTTCCCGTGCTCGGGGTGCGGGGACTGTTCGCGCCGTGCGGTGCTCCCACGGTGAGGGGGGGGCGGGGGGGGGTTCTGCTTGCCAGCCCGCTTGGCCTGGCAGGCGTGTGGGGTCTCAGGCAAGGGAGAGAGGAGGAGGACGCTTGGAGGAGGGCTGGTGGAGGCGGCGGCGGCCCTCCCTGCCGTTTTTCGTGTCCCTCGCTGGGCCTCCTGGAGGGTTTTCTCGTCGCCGCCGCTGGACCCGCCGCGAAGGACGGGCCAGGATGGACTCTGGGAGAGAGCTTTCGGGGGCCGATGTTGAGCTTGAAAGTGTCAAGATTTGGGGCGTTTTCGTGGACTTCTTCGTCATTAGAGAAACAGAGAGAGAGAGAGAGAGAGAGAGAGAGAGAGAGAGAAAAAAACAGTAACATATGAAAGAACCCGATTACTTCTCTTGTTTTGTGAGCGGGCTCAGGCCTGGCGGGAGAGCCGCCGTGGTCTCTCTCAGCTGGCCCTCCTCTGAGGATGCGCCCGCGCTGCCCGGCGAGGTTATGTCATCCGTATGCGTGGGGGTGGGGGGGAGGCCAAGACTCCCTCCCCGCCCGCAAGCCGTCTCGCTCACTCCCACCCGCCCTCCCGACACATACGCAGCACCCGAGCCTGGCCCGAGCCCCAGCATATTCAGCAGTCGTCTTTGGATGGGAAGCTACTGGGGGCGCATCCGCCGCCGCCGCCGCCGCCGCCTCCCCCGCTGCCCCCGCCGCCCGCCGCCGCCGCCGCGCCGCCGCCGCCGCCGCCGTTGCCCGCGCCGCCGCCGCCGCCGCCCGCCGCCGCCGCCGCCGGCCGCCGCGCCGCCGCCGCCCCGCCGCCGCCCCCGCCGCGCCGCCCGCGCCGCCGCCGCCGCCCGTCGTCCCCGCTGCGGGACGCCGCCGCCGCAGCCGCTGCCGCCGCAGCTTGTGCCGCCACCGCCGCCGCTGCCGCGCCGCCGCCGCCGCCGCCGCCGCCGCCGCCCCCGCCGCCCCCGCCGCCGCCGCCGCCGCCGCAGCCGCCGCAGCCGCTGCAGCCGCCGCAGCCGCCGCAGCCGCCGCCGTCGCCCAGTGTACCCTGTATCGTTTTTTGACGGGGATGGTGGGGGGAGGCCGCATCGGGTTGGCTGCGCATGTTCGGGATTTGGAGGCAGAAGGTGTTTTGTATGGTTTTTATAAGGGATGGTGGGGGGGTGTCCGCATTGTCCCTGGTTGGTTGCCAGTCGCCAGTGGGAGGGGGTGTATACTAATAGGGAGCAGTGATTGATGTGAACGCATGAAAAAGGGGGGTGGCAAAGAGGTGGGTGATGATCAGGGGGGGTGGATATCGTGGCGGGGGCCATGATATCTCCCCAGATTGCATGGTGCCTCTTCTTATTTCGTTACGTCCCCGGTCCCCCCCCTGGGCCGTGCACGTGCCGCTGGCCATGATTTGCGCCCCCACCTCTTGGACGCCCCCCTCGTGGCCGCCCCCGAGAAGAACGCCTCCCGCCCCCCACATGAAGAACTTTAGATTAAGTTTGTGGGGCCGTCAAGCGACGCGTGAACTGCAAGCGGAAGCAGCTCGGCGGTCAGCCAGCGACAACGCCGCGCATTTCAATGCGGGGGTGTGGCAATGGCCTCGCCGACAGGGCGCCTACACTTACGCACATTCGCCACACATGCAAAATGCTGACATGTAACATCCATAGTTGTGGGGGCTGCGGTCGGTTTCCCATTGTTCATGATAAACATCCTACATTGACGCGCCGATTAGCGAATTGGCCGTTTTCGGTTCGCGAAAAAACTCATTTTTTGCGGGTCCAGGTCCGTCGCTTTCGGTCCTAGGCCATTTTCATTCAAGGGTGGTTTGCTAAATGGAGGATTGTCCACCGCTTTGCGGGGGGGGGGCGAGCGAAGGGTGATCGCGCTGGTGGAGAAGGATCGGAAATCAAGGATCGATGTCTCTGGGCGTCCTCAGGCCTCTTCTGGGCTTCTGGGAACTTCTACAGGCTCTGGTGACCTCTGGAGACTTTGGGGGGCCGGGAACGTCGGGAGGCATCCAGAGTCCAGAGAACTCCAGAGAAGAAGCAGGAGGAGAGGACCTTTCCAAAAAGCAAGTCCAGCTATTTGGAGCCGCCCTTATATGAATCTCGCTTCCAGATGTAAGCAAAAGTAGCGGGAGAGATGCAAGTGGGCAGGGTGGAGGGCGACAGGGAGCCGGGGGACTTTGGTGATGGGCCCGCTGTCTGAGGCACCAGCACCTCCAGTCTGTGCGGGGCAAGACCAACCGCAGCAACAACAGGACTGCATCGAACCTCCATTCCGAGAGCCTCTCGTGGTCAAGAGTTGCGCGCGCCCGCGTGGCCTGTTGTAGTTGCACCTTGCGTCGTACGAGCCGGTCTGTCGAGCGGGGAACGTCGCATATTGTCCTCCCTCCTTCTCCCTTCTTATCCCTCCTGCCTGCTCCCCCCCGGCCTCTTCCCTTCAACGTTGCCTAAGAGATCTCGGCGTGGCGCGTCCGCACCATGTGGGCGTGAGTGCGCCGCACATCTGCGCATCGCCTCCGGAGGGCATCGCCTCTGATATGAGATGGTATGAATGTATTTGATATGATTCGGTGTAGTATGAGATATTTATATAGCAGTGTGTGTGTATATTTACAAATGTGTATATATAAATATCTACACATCGATGTGTAGGTCTTGCGTGCGGTGCCATCGTTCTAGTCGTCCATGTTCAGACACGGACCCTCTCATTCTCAACGTAGTGCGTGCACTTAGGGCTTCTCACTTGTTACTGGGGAGCTGGGCCTGTCTTTCAGTCTGGCGGCTATGTTGCCGCCGACGCTGCCCCGTCGCCGCCTCGTCGCCGCCCGTCGTCTGGGCCCAGTCTGGCGGCTATGTTGCTGCCGTCGCCCCCCTGCGCCGGCTCGTTGCGCCCGTCGTTTGGGCCTCTATGTCGGTCTGGCGGCTATGTTGCCGCCGTCGTCGCCCCGTCGCCGCTTCGTCGCCGCCCGTTGTAGGTTGTCTTTTTTAAAAAGAGATAGGTTCTACCACCCTCCCCAACCCAGGGTTAAAGACTCACCTTTTCGTAGTGCAATTTGCATATGATTCTGCCCCATCGTCCATTTTAAATATGAATTTACACCATCCCAGGGGGGCCGGTGTCGCCCCCCCCCGCCATCCTTTGTCAAACAATTATGCGCGCACATTCGTGTATCGAAGATTATAAGTTGTCACTCGTCCCTTGCAAAAAAAAGGGACGAAGTGCACACGCGCGCGTCGTCGCGCGCGCATGCCGGAATCCTTCAAAAACCTTCTGCTTCGGAAGGAAATCAAAATGGAGTGTCCAAAAACGTAAACAAACACAAGTAGTAGCAGTTGTAGTAGATGAGGAGGATTAGGAGAAGGAGGAGGAGGAGGAGGAGGAGGAGGAGGAGGTGGATGAGGAGGAGGAGGAGGGAGGAGAAGCGAGAAGGGAGGTGAAGAGGAAGGAGTTGAGAAAGAGGAGGAGGAGGAGGTGCAGGAGGGAGGAGGTGGAGGAGGAGGAGTAGGAGGAACATTCTAATTCGAAGTCTACTCTGCGCGGGGGTCCCTGCTCTAGGCAGGCCGCTTTACGACAACACCACGAACATGTGTAAGCCGAAGGCGAGGAAAACAGTGATGAAGTACACCCGCGCGAATGCCGCCCGCTGTGCGTAATGAAAACTGCCGCTCCAGCAGCACTCCCAAGGTATATGGCGAGCTCTCGCTTCTGAACCCCCCCAGCTAGAGAAGACATTTATACTACACATAACGTGAATCACCTTGCCGACATACTGCACCCAAGCCGCCAGCCCTGACCACCACACCGCCACAAAGGCCGCGTAGACAAAACGCGAGCGTACATGATGAAGAACGCCTGCACCAGCACGACACCGAAGGAAAGCCAGACGTGCGAACGGCAGGCAGAAAGCCTAGGCCGAAGGCCACATCCACATCGCGACAAACACACTTGACTCAACCAGTCGCCGATAAGGCACACGGGCACGCCAGTCCCTGGGCGAGGGGAATGCTAGCCACCACGGCTCATCCCTCGAGCCCTGCATAAACATAACACTGAGCCAAGTCCCACCAGAAAATCAATTGGGCAAAGACCAACCCAGTAGGAATGAGCCCAGGCCCGCAATGTAAGAACAAACACGCATCGAAAAAGTAGATCGCGATGATCCCACCGAGCGCCTGCACGCCCAGCAGCCTGCCCACCAAGAAGCCCAGCCCCATGAACACGAGGAAGACCACCAGGAAAGCGAGAAGCTGCAGTATGCTCTGGAAGGTGGAGGCGAACGAATTCAACCCGGCGTTGCCAGGAGCACCTAGACCTCAAGCGGCAGGGAGCGGCGCACCTCCCTACACTAAGCCCGGGACGACGGCCAAGCGGCGCTGCGGGGGCCCATTCGAGCCGACGTGGCTTGAGCCAATTGGCTTGAGCCAAAATGGCTACGGAGGAGGAGGATGAGTGAGGAGGAGTAGGAGGGAGGGAGGAGAAGCAAGAAGGGGGATGAACAGGAGGGCGAGGAGGAGGATGATGATGCTGCTGCTGATGATGATGGTGATGATGATGAGGAGGATAAGGAGGAGCATGAGGTTGTGGGTTGTGGTCGTGGTAGTGGTGAGGGACGAAAAGAAGTAGAGGAGAGGCTGATCACGATAGTGCTGATATTGATATTGATGCTGATGTCGTTTATGCTGGTGATGGTGCTTATGCTGCTGATGACGATGATGCTGCTGCTGATAATGATGATGCTGAGTATGATGGTGACGATGCTGATGATGCTGATGATGCTGCTGCTGCTGATGATGAATATGATGATGATGCTGATGCTGCTGCTGATGATGATGATGATGAGGACCATGCTGATGATGATGCTGATGCTGCTGCTGCTATTGATGATTCTTATTATGATGATGATACTGACGATGATGATGAGGATGAGGATGATGACGATGATGAGGATGATGCTGCTGCTGATGATGATGAGGATGATGCTGATGATGCTGATGATGAGGATGATGATGCTGCTGTTGCTGATGCTGATGCTGCTAATGATGATGATGATGATGATGATGATGATGATGATGCTGATTATGATGGTGATGATGGTGATGATGATGATGATGCTGCTGATTATGATGATGATGATGGTGATGATGATGATGATGATGATGATGATGATGATGATGATGCTGATTCTGCTGATGCTGATGATGCTGATGATGATGATGAGTGGTGGTGGTGATGATGATGATGATGCTGATGATGATGCTGATGCTGATGATGATGATGATGATGATGATGATGATGATGATGATGATGATGCTGGCTGCTGCTGCTGCTGATGCTGCTGCTGCTGATGATTATGATGATGATGATGATGGTGGTGGTGGTGGTGGTGGTGATGATGATGATGATGCTGATGCTGATGATGATGCTGATGCTGATGATGATGATGATGATGATGCTGATGATGATGATGATGATGATGATGATGATGATGCTGATGATGATGATGATGGAGGAGCAGGAGAGAGGCGGAGGGAGCCCACCTGCAGTCTCCAGAGGATCGTGCATAAGACGGCCTACTACGGCACGCTCGAGATCGGGTCCCCGAAGCAGGCCAGTCGACCACCCTCGGGATCGGGCGCGCCCTCCCTGCCCCTCCCTCTTCCTTCTCCTGCCTCGTTCCTGCCTCCTCCACTTCCCCCTGCCTTCCCCCTCCCCGGCCCTTCGCACTCTCAATATTAGTAGGCTGGATGCACATGGGCACCAGTCGACATCTCGGCTGAGCTCCACCAGCGTCGGAATGATGGAGTCGGCGTTTTGGGGGAACGTGCCGGTTTGTCTCGACCAGATCGAGACTCCTCGGGGGACTGGAGACCCCCTGCGTTCCCCGCTTCGCCATCCCGAAAGTCGAAGCACGAACTTGCACACTCATAAGCTTTGGGAGCTCCGCGCGGACCTCCTGGGGTCGGCGCTCAGCCACCCTCCTTGCGGCGCCTCTGGCGGCCGTCCCCGGCGCGCTCCGCGCGCAAGCCGAGGGGGGGGGGCGTCCAGCGACGGTCCAAGCAATCCGAGCGGAGCTCCGCAGGCTCATGCCCACGCCGTTTTTCTGCTCCTCGAGCCGAGGGGGGGGGGGGTCCAGCGACGGCCCAGGCAAGCCGAGCGGAGCGCCGAAAAAGCTGCTGCCCATGCCGTTCTCTTTGCTCCTCGAGCCTCGCCGCTCCGCAGGGGATGCCGACGCCGAGGCGCCGTTCTCGCGCGCACGTGGCGCGGCGGGCCCGGGCGAGCGCCGGTCGCGCGCGGGCCCGCGCGGCCCCGGCACGAGAACGGCCCCGTCTCTCGCAGAGCGTGCGCATCCGGCGCGCGGCCTCCCCGTGCTCTGCACGCGGATCCAGCCGTGCTGTGCTTCCAGCGCAGCTCCTGGGATGCCTCTTCTCTCTCTCTCTCTCTTTCTCTCTCTCTCTCTCTCTTTTTTTTTTTTTTTTTTTTTTTTTTTTTTCTCTCTCTCTCTCTCTCTCTCCTGCTCCTCTCTCTCCTCTCTCCTCCTCTCTCTCTCTCTATCTCTCTCCTCTCCTCTCTCTCTCTCTCTCCTCTCTCCTCTCTCTCCTCCTCTCTTTCCTCCTCTCTCTCTCTCTCTCCTCTCTCCTCTCTCCTCCTCTCTCTCCTCCTCTCTCCTTCTCTCTCTCTCTCTCTCTCCTCCTCTCTCTCCTCCTCTCTGCCTCTCCAGATCTGCTTCAGTCGGGCCTGTCCCTCTATAGGAGGGATGTTCCCAAATAGTCAAAAAATAGTCAGGGGATGACCTTTTGATCATTGTTGGACAATTTGGGAGGATTTGTTGGGCATTTTTAATGTTGCCGCCCAGCATCTGCCTGTAGGAGGACATGCCCGGCCTAAAGATATGCTTGCGTCGTGAACAGATCCCGGCGGGAGGTTTTTGGCCTTTTCGGCCCCTGGGGGCCCTCGCATGGCCCCTGGGACCGTCAAGAGATGACTCGGGATGAAGAACTGGCCTCGGGGAAAGGGTCGGGACTTCCAGGGATTCTGTGCTGAACGAAGGGAGACATTCCATGTTTGGGTCTCCCTTTTATGCTCCATCTCCTTCCTCTCTCTCTCTCTCTCGTTTTTCCCCTCTATGCTCCTTCTCCTCCCGTTCTCTCCTCTCCTTCCTCCTTCCGCGACCGAAGCAGTTTTTAACCATCCCTCCTCATGCTCCTTCCTCCCCCTTCTCCTTCTACCTTCTCTGCCTCCTTCTCCTCCTCCTTCATCCCTCCTTCCCTTTCTCCCTCCCTCCCTCATCTACTGTCCCGTTCCAGCTTCCTCTCCTCCGCTTCCCCTTGCTCCTCTTTCTTCCTTTCTCATCCTCATTGCGCTGGGAGAAGGAATGAGATGAGGAGTGATTAGGGTAGAAGGCAAGGAGGAGATGAGTGAACAGGACGGACACCTTCCGACCTCCACTGCTAAATACTTTACTTCACTGCTGATGCATCTGCTGCTGCAGCTGCTGTCGCCGCTGTTTCTAGTGTCGCTGCCGCTGGGACGCCGTTGACACAGTTGCCGCACTTCCCGATTTCGTGGCCTCAGTTGCTGCTGCCGCGGCTGCTGCCGGTGACGTCATTGCTGCTGCGGCTGCTGCCAGTCCTGCCACAGCTGTCGCTGCCGTGCCGCAGAGGCTGCTACTACGCCGCCATGGCTGCTGTCGCCACTTCTGCTGCCACATCCGCTCATGCCGCGGCGGTTGCCGTTCCTGCAGTGCTCCTGCTGCTGTGCTGTGGCTGCTTCTGCTGCTGCGGCGCTGTTGCTATCGTGCCTGTGCTGCCAGGCATTCACCGTCGTGTTCGACACGGGGAGTGGCAACCTGATGGTGCCGTCCACGTACTGCAGCAGCAGGGCGCGCCGCCCCGCCGTGCCTGCTTCCACGGGCACGCTTGCCATGATCTCCATGCTAGGATTGCACCGTATGCCTCTGCTTACCGTGTGTGTGTGTGTGTGTGTGTGTTTATGTGTGTGGGCGCATTTGAGGGGGAGGAAGACGAAAAGTAGTAGGAGGTGGAGGAGGCGGAGATAAGGAGGAGGAGGAGGAGGAGGAGGAGGAGGAGGAGGAGGAGGAGGAGGAGGAGGAGGAGGAGAGGAGGAGGGAGGAGGAGGAGGAGGAGGAGGAGGAGGGGAGGAGGAGGAGGAGAGGAGGAGAGGAGGAAGAGGAGGAGGAGGAGGAGGAGGAGGAGGAGGAGGATAAGGATAGGGAGGAGGAACTGGACTCCCCCCTGGGACACATCCCCCCTGGGGAGGAGGACCGGAAGGACTGGCGTGGACGCATTTTTTACCTCGTGGCGAGAGCGAGGGGAGAGCAGCGTGCGACGTCGCGACCTCTCTGCGGAGCTGGTTGGACATTGCCTTGCGCGCGTGGCTTCACTACTCAGGCAGAGGGTTTACATGGAGGAACGCCTTCCACCAAGAGCAGGCGGAGACCGACAGGAAGGGGGGCAGAGCGGGAGAGAGAGAGGTAGAGAGAGTGAGAGAGAAGAAGAGATGGAAAGAGAGAGAGAGAGAGAGGGAGCAGTGCAGTATGAGGTTGAAAGGACAGACAACAGTTTCAGTATCACGATCATGCCTAGCAATTTTGTGGTCTTTGGAGGAGATGAGCATGACTTCGTATACGCAGGGGCGACCCATCGACCCTTGCTGCTGCGCTTTTTATGCAGCCGCCAGCCTCCGACCAGCCCTTGTCGAGCTTCGTCCTGGCCGCGACGACCCTGACCTCCCCTCGCCCCTCCGCCTCCTCCTCTTCCCTCCCTGTCCTCGTCAAGGAGGCCTTCTGGAACCACGTGATCTGTGCGGCCGATCGTTGGTTGAGAGATGCCCTGTTCTCCGCTGGCCTCGGCTTCGTCCAGAACATGTGTCGCAACCGCTGCAGTTCCCGTGTTCGCAGAGATCGCAACAGACCTCCCGTCACTCGGGACCTCGCAAAGGGGGGCTGCCACAGGGGGGAGGTGAGTTCGGTCCGTTGGCGCATCGATCCGCAGAAAAACCATGCAAAACGAGGTCTCCAGCCGCCGCCGGAACCCGAGAGGCGTCGACAATCGGGGCGCGCGGGGGGCATCGTTTTTTCGGAAATTCGATGCACCAGCGGATCGAACTCTTTGGTGGGCCCTGGGCCACAATGCCACGCCTGGCAGGCGGCCGGGTGAGCGAGTCGTGCCTCGGGGTCGGTCCTGGAATGTTTCAGGATCTCCTCGGAGGTTCCCGAGGAGGGAGGACGACTGGATGGCCCAGGGGTGACTCCCCCCCCCTCCACTTCATTTCTGCGCCAGGCTGGCGGGTGCACTGGCAGCGTCCCGCATGCGGCGCCATCCTCGGGATTCGTCGGGGCGGCATGCCTCGCCATGAGCAAGCCTCAAGTCGGGCCTGTTCCTCTACAGGAGGAATGTTCAAAATAGGAAAAAGTAGTCTGGGGACGATTTTCTTTAATTACTACTTGGGAGCATTTTTGAATATTTCCGGGGTATTTTTTATTTGTCGTCCAAAACCCCCCTGTAGGGGGACACGCCCGACTGAAGCGTACGTACAATTCCACTAATAAGCGCGCTCGCCGCGGGACGACTCGCACGACGGTATACATACATACATACATACATACATACATACATACATACATTCATACATACATACATACAGACAGACAGACAGACAGACAGACAGACAGACAGAGACAGAGACAGACAGACAGACAGACAGACATACATACACACATACATACATATACATATACATACATAGGTATACATATTAGTGAGGAGCTCTAGAGGCGGCATGGCACGTGGAAGTGCAGGGTGAGACGGAGACGCACTGTACATGATGTTCAGCACGGGATTTTGTTGTTCTGCTTTCGTTGTTGTTGTGGTTGTTGTTGGTGTTGGTGTTGGTGTTGTTGCTGCTGCTGCTGCGGCTGCCGCTGCTGCTGCTGTTGTTGTTGCTGTTGTTGGTGTTGTTCTGGTGGTTGTTGTACTTCTTGTTGTGGTTGTTGTCGTTGTTGTGGTTGTTGTTGGTGTTGTTGTGGTTGTTGTGGTTGTTGTGGTTGATGTTGTTGTCGTCGTCGTCGTCGTCGTCGTCGTCGTCGTCGTCCTCGTTGTTGTTGTTGTTGTTGTTGTTGTTGTTGTTGTTGTTGTTGTTGTTGTTGTTGTTGTTGTTGTTGTTGTTGTTGTTGTTGTTGTTGTTGTTGTTGTTGTTTTGTTGAATTCTCATTTCTGAAGAATGATTATTGTTGATCCCCCCACCGGTGCATATGGTTTTTTTCTCAATCAAAGTGTGCCCCTCGACGCTCGCACCCTGTTTTTTGACAGGGAAAGTCTTGATGCTCAAACTGGGCCCCTGGCCCCCGGGTCACAACAACAACGGCTCCCGCTTGAGACTTCTTGACAATTTAGCCAGGACCCCCGCTACCGCCCGAGACTTCCTTACATTTTATGCAGGAATCGCGCTCTCGCTTGGGACTTTTTTACAATTATTTAGGAATCGCTCTCCCGGCGCTCTGGAGTCGCGCTCTCGCTGGAGACTTGCTTGCAACTTACTGAAGAATGGCCTTGCGTTGGAATTTCCTGCAATTTCCCCAAGCGCCGCGCTCCCGACACCCAGGCACCCAGGAGTCGCGCCCGTTGTGGCCCCATGTGCATGCCCTTCGTGGCCCCGCTGTCGCCATTTGTGTCCCCCTCACTGTCCTAAGTGGCCCAGTTGCTACCCTCAGTGGCCCCACAGTTGCCTTTTGTGGCCCCGCATTATCTGCACTTCGTGGCCCCCGCTCGTTCGCGCTCTTCGTGGCCCCATATGCATTCCCTTCGTGTCCCCGCTGTCGCCCTTCGTGGCCTACTTCGTGCCCTTTGTGGCCTTGCTGTCGTTCTCTCTCGCTCTCGCTTTCGCTCGTCGCCGTCGTCGTTGTCGCCGTCGTCGTCGACGTCGTCTTCGTCGTCGTCTTCGTCGTCGTCGTCGTCGTCGTCGTCGTCGTCGTCGTCGTCGTCGTCGTCCCCTGTCCGTCCCTCTTGGAGTCGGGTCGACGGTCCGCGGCCGCCCCGCCGATCAGAGCTGCCGCTAGCCAGGCCGACGGTCCGCGGCCGCCCCGCCGCTTGCCGGGGCCCGGCCTGCAGGGAAGAAAGGTATACCTCCCAAAAGGGGTTCGATCGAAGACGAAAAGGGCGGGTATCGAGGGTTTGGGAAATACGCGTTATTGGACACTCGTGCATATAAGGGCGAACAGTCTTGAAATTATTGTTGTTGAAGTGTGATTTCTGAAGAATAATTATTGTTGATCCCCCCCACCAGTGCATACTGTTTTTCTCAATCAAAGTGTGCCCTTCGACGCTCGAACCTTGTTTTTGGACAGGGGAAGTCTTGATGCTCAAACTGGGCCCCTGGGCCCCCGGGTTACAACAACAACGGCTCCCGCTTGAGACTTCTTGACAATTTAGCCAGGACCCCCGCTACCGCCCGAGACTTCCTTACATTTTATTCAGGAATCGCGCTCTCGCTTGGGACTTTTTTACAATTATTTAGGAATCGCTCTCCCGGCGCTCTGGAGTCGCGCTCTCGCTGGAGACTTGTTTGCAATTTACTGACGAATAGCGCCCTTGCGTTAGAATTTCTTGCAATTTACTCCAGCGCCGCGCTCCCGACACCCAGGCACCCAGGAGTCGCGCTCACGCTTAGGACTCCCTCACAGATTACCCAGGAATCGGGATCTCGCTGCCCGTCGTGGCCCCGTTGCAGCCCTTCGTGGCCCCCTCGCTTTGTTTCGTTGCCCCGTTGCAGCCCTTCGTGGCCCCCTCGCTTTGTTTCGTGGCCCCGCTGCAGCCCTTCGTGGCCTCCTCGCTGCCCTTCGTGGCCCCGTTGCAGCCCTTCGTGGCCCCCCTCGCTTTGTTTCGTTGCCCCGTTGCAGCCCTTCGTGGCCTCCTCGCTTTGTTTCGTGGCCCCGTTGCAGCCCTTCGTGGTCCCCTCGCTGCCCCTCGTGGCCCCGTTGCAGCCCTTCGTGGCCCCGTTGCAGCCTTTCGTTGCCCCGTCGCTTTGTTTCGTGGCCCCGTTGCAGCCCTTCGTGGTCCCCTCGCTGCCCTTCGTGGCCCCATATATGTATGCCCGTCGTGGCCCCCGCTCGTTCGCGCCCGTGTTGGCCCCATATGCATGCCCTTCGTGGCCGCGCTGTCGCCCTTCGTGGTCCCCTCGCTGCCCTTCGTGGCCCCGTTGCTGCCCTCGGTGGCCCCGTACTTGCCCTATACGTTTGCCCTTCGTGGCCCCCGCTCGTTCGCGCCCGTTGTGGCCGCATGCGCGTGCCCTTCGTGGCCCCGCTGTCGCCGTTCGTGGCTCCCTCGCTGTCCTACGTAGCCCAGTTGCTACCCTCAGTGGCCCCATCGTTGCCTTCTGTGGCCCCGCATTATCTGCCCTTCGTGGCCCCCGCTCGTTCGCGCTCTTCGTGGCCCCATACGCATTCCCTTCGTGTCCCCGCTGTCGCCCTTCGTGGCCTACTTCATGTCCTTCGTGGCCCTGCTATCGTTCTCTTTCGCTCTCGCTTTGTCGTCGTCGTCGTCGCCGTCGTCGTCGTCGTCGTCGTCGTCGTCGTCGTCGCCGTCTTCGTCGACGTCGTCGTCGTCGTCGTCGTCGTTGTCGTCGTCGTCGTCGTCGTCGTCGTCGGTCCCCTGTCCGTCCCTCTTGGGGTCGGGTCGACGGTCCGCGGCCGCACCGCCGATCAGCGCTACCGCTGGCCAGGCCGACGGTCCGCGGCCGACCCGCCGCTTGCTGGGGCCCGGCCTGCAGGGAAGAACGGTATACCCCCCAAAAGGGGTTCGATCGAAGACGAAGAGGGCGGGTATCGAGGGTTTGGGAAATACGCGTTATTGGACGCTCGAACAG